CATTGTTGTGGTTTCTGACTTTGCTACAGCACAGAATTGGCTGTTTTACACGATTGCATCTGGAAAAGAAGTTTAGGGTTTACACTGACCCTGGAAATTTGCCTGAAAGGGGAATTTCAGCTTGGCTAGTTTGGTTTGCAGAAAGAGGAAGCCACAGCAAAGGGAAGAGAAACGAGTAAGTGTAAGATTTGGTCCAATAGTTCGTGGTGTTTCATGCGAAGCAGGCCCCAAATAGGTGTGTGTGTGGTAGGTTAAGAATGCCTCTTGTCAGGGTAGAAAAGAAGCATTGTTAGAATGGCTTTTCCAGGATATCTAAGTGGCACTGAGGATACACATGCTAGTTCTTGCTCTTTAAATAAACCTATTTTGGGGGGGGTTTCCTCCTTTTGGACCAAATGTATCTTTGAGTGGCTTCATGTGAAATGTTGGGGTTGGACCTGTGGGAACAAGACATTTACTCAGTTGTTTACTCTCACCACTGTTTCTTGTTTTTGGAAATGACTTGCTCTCCGTTGGTCACAGTTGAAAATGGTCATTTCAAAGCAAGTTGCTGATGGAGTGATAGCCACTGTTTTGATTTCTTTAACAGATCTTATTTATTTACCGGTCTTAACAGGCAGCTTAAATGGCTAGCATCGGAGTACCAGACATATCTGACATCTATAAATCACATTAAAAACCTAACTGTATGAAATAAAGATAAAGATCAAAACTTCTCAACATTAATATAAGTTGGTTTTGGTTGTTGTCTGGTTTGGATTATCTTTTGTTCTTTTTTTATCATTTTCTGTTTTGTTTTGTTTTTAAATCTGTGAACTGCTACAGTTGCTGGAAGCCAGATACAACTGGTGTGTATTTATGATGGTTGCAATTGTTCTGGGGTCTTGTCTGGAGGCTAAAACATATAAAAAATGATTGCTGGAATTGGGTATGTCTAGTCTAATGAAAAGAAGGGCTAGGGGTGACATGATAGCAGTGTTCCAATATCTCAGGGGCTGCTTCAAAGAAGAGGGAGTCAAACCATTCTCCAAAGCGCCTGAAGGCAGGACAAGAAGCCATGGATGGACACTAATCAAGAAGAGAAGCAACCTAGAACTAAGGAGAAACTTCCTGACAGTTAGAACAATTAACCAGTGGAACAACCTGCCTCCAGAAGAGGTGAATGCTCCAACACTGGAAGTCTTTAAGAAGAGACTGGACAGCCATTTGTCTGAAATGGTATAGGGCAGTGATGGCAAACCTTTTAGAGACCGATTGCCCAAAAACTGCCCCCTACCCCCATCCCCACTCTACCCCACCCACTGGGCCACCCACCATTACACGGCCCATCACAGATCACCCAGGCAGCCCAGCAGTGCCATGGCAGCCATGCCTTCCACCCATGCCCCGCAACATCATCTGCATGCAATGGGGCGCAAGGACGGAGTCTTGTCCCTGCTGCCTTAGCTACCATGTCTGTGGCTCCACTGCTTTGTGTGGGCCGTGCCCAGGGGCAACTCTCCTCCGGGGGGGCTGTTGGTGGGAGGAGGCGGGGCTGGGGAGACAGTGCGTGTGCCCACAGAGAGGGCTCCAAGTGCCACCTCTGGCACCCGTGCCATAGGTTCGCCACCAGTGGTATAGGGTTTCCTGCCTGAGCAGGGGGTTGGACTAGATGACCTCCAAGGTCCCTTCCAACTTTTTATTTATATTATTATTATTATTATTATTATTATTATTATTATTATTATTATTATTATTATTATTATTATTATTATTCCCTTTTGCAGCCTTCTGACAAATAAATTGGAGAAGCCAGATTCACTTAAGCGTGTTACTAACTGCAGTCATCCACTTAACAACTGTGCAATGAAGGTCGTAAAATGGGGCAAAACTCACTTAACAAATGTCTTACTTAGCAATAGAAATTTTGGGCTCAATTGTGGTTGTAAGTCAAAGATAGCTGCATAGGAACCACAGTAAATGATGCTTACTTATTTTTAAGCATCATTGATAACACGTGAGCAATCTGAGCCCCCCCCCCCCAAGGCCACATGTGGTCTACAGCCTCTTTTTTTTGGGGGGGAGGCTCAGAATATACTTACAATCAAAACTGTGGAAAAACCATGATATCGTTATTTGCAGTTCTGCAGGCAGAGCTGCTCAGAAACGGTGATGTCAGCCCTGGAATTGGCTTAATATGGTTTAATGAAGAGTAACTTCCAAACTCCTCTCACCAACTGCCATAAAATCTTATTTCCACCTACTTGACATCATGAAACCACTCCCTGTGCCCTCCAGCCACATAAAAAGATGTTAAATATGGCTCTTTGTGAAATAAAGCTCGCCCAGCCCTGTATTACAGATAGAGTTATATGAATATAGCTGCCAATATCTGTCCTGTTTCCACAGGCGAGGAGCAGATCCACCCCCAATTTCTGGATCAAAAGTCAGCAGAGGGAAACAGCCCTATAAATAGATTCCTGCCCCTTGCATTTGGGAACTGCTCTCAATAGGTTGCCTTCCACGTATAGAATTTTTAATGTTCTCACACAGTGAGTTGTCTTTCACATAGTTTTGAAGAAGTCCACTCGGAACAATAAAACTGGGTAGTGGTATACAAATGCGTTTTTGTCTCTGATGTAAGGAGAAAATAGAAATAAAAATTGAAGGATTTGGAGAAATATATATTTTATCTGATTTTTTTTCCCCCTTGGATTTTTACAGCTCTAGATACCTGGCACACGTTAACTCGAAGACTGAATTAATTAATACTTGTATGGGCTAGTATCCTTTATGACAGTGATGGCGAACCTTTTAGAGACCGAGTGCCCAAACTGCAACCCAAAACCTACTTATTTATCGCCGGGTGCCAGGTGGGCATGGCCCACTGGGTGGGCGTGGCTGTGGTGGTCATGGTAGATTGGGTGGGTGTGGCCAAGGTGGGCATGATCACCTCGATGTTGCTTGTGGGGAGGGACGCCTGTGGGGGCTGGGCAGGGTTGGGGGTCTCTGGCAAATGGGGCGGTGGGCAGGAGACTCGTCCCTCTGGGTGAGGCAAGGCAGGGTGGGGGTGCCATTGTCACAGGGAAAGGTGAGGCAGGGGCCAGGGCGGCTGCTGCCTGATACCATCGGCCCCTGCACACAGAGGCCAGAGAGCACATGGGTGCTGGGATGCATCTGGCCATATGGGACTTCGGCGAGTTAGTGGGCAGCTGGTTGAAGAGGGACAGTTGCCCTCTCCGGGGCATGGCGCGCGTGCCTACAGAGAGGGCTCTGACTGCTGCCTCTGGCATGCGTGCTATAGGTTTGCCACTACTGCTTTATGGCTTATTTTCAATGTTGGACAAAGCTCCAAAAAGCAGGGGTTTCCAAAATACATTGTCTGCTTGTCTGTAGGAGTATTGTTCTTATTTATAATTTTCACAGGTGCAATGAACGGATTTCTATTATAAGGATTTAGCAACGATCTTCTAGCAGGATGTGATTTAGTATTTAACGGAGCAATTCTGATAAAATAAAAGTGTGGGTATAGAAGTACATTTGATGTGTGCGTATTGGTTGGTGGCCTTTGAATTCAGCAAGTGTGTCTAATTGGGCTCCCAGCTGTAGGGAAATATGGTGGTGCATGTAGTTTTGTTTCTTGGGTGTTCACTTATCTGTGGCTAAGCATCTGTTGCCTTGCAAATGACTTTTAAGTTAAAACTGAACAAGCTAAAATGAGCCACTCTAGGTACCTAAGTGTGTAGTTAACCAATTTAGGTAATTGAGACTATAATTCACACTGAGGCAGTTTGAAGGCTCAGCAACCTTGGTGTCATCCACTGATCCTCATGAGGACAGGCTGTCAAATGGCTCTCGGTTCCCTATTTTCCAGTTGCAAGCAGCAATGGTGATTTTAACTGATTTCTTGCTTAATACATTATGTGTTGTGGCGTGATTTGGATTTTGAAATGCTTTAAAATGAACTGATGTGCATAACAGGAGAAAAAAAAAAACCCTCTGCAGTATCTCTTGCTCTTCACTTTGAGATAGAGCAGTGTTTCCCAAACTTGACAATTTTAAGGCATGTGGACTTCAACTCCCAGAATTCCACAGCCAGCGTTGCTGGCTGTGGAATTCTGGGAGTTGAAGTCCACATGCCTTAAAATTGTCAAGTTTGGGAAACACTGAAATAGAGGATGTTAAACGGTAAGACCAGATGAAAAGCTTCTGTGCCTGGGATTCAGTTCAGAAGGCTGATAATTTGCCCATTAATTCATGTATACATAAATATATATTCCCCCCCAAAAAACCAGTCCTGTATAATAGCCAGCATCATTCAGTATGGTCCATCCATTAGGATAGCCATGGTTTTCCCAGTGTCAGTGCCAGATCTGAAATTGCATTAGGTGTAGAGCCAGATACGACCAGCCTGATGGTACATTTTGTCAAGGAGAACTCCTGGACAATATACAGTTATGTTCCATCCAGATACCTTCAAATAAAATTTCTTATGGCAGGTTAGGGCAACATATTTTTCGAGGTAGTTCAAATAGTAATTTCTTATTGGGGCCACCTCATCCATCTCTTAGCTATGGGAAGGATTAGAACAAAGGTAATCTGTCAATCTTTTCAGAACTGCTTATATTTAAAACAGGTCCTAAACAGTAAATTGAAATTAAATTGAAACATAATTTTCCCTCAGTAATTGCGCTCTCTCTCTCTCTCTCTCCCCCTCCCTCCCTCCCTCCCTCCCTCCCTCTGTGTGTATGTGTGTGTGTATTCAGTGCTTTTTATACCACTTCCTTAAATTTTAATGTTTGGCATACTCAATATTCTTTCCAGTGTTGATACAGTGCAATTACTGAGGGAAAATTATGAATGGATTCAGATTCTCTTTTGTCGCGAAATGGATATGAAGGGTCAACAAGCAGATTTCAGCCCAAGTTCCTTTGCAGGATAGATAGTGAGATTCTAGGCCAGGGGTGTCAAACTGCCGGCCCATGGGCCAGATGCATCATGGCAAAACCGCGCCCACCCCATTGCCAGCAATGGAAAAAAGTCGCGACACGCCACGTGATGTTGCAAGTTTGACACCCCTGTTCTAGGCCATATTGTATGGTTCCTTACTTCTGTAAATTCAGAGCTTACTATGTGATGTTCCAGCTGCATGTACCAATGGTTTGTCTGTAATCCACTTTTGTTATTCGTCAATTCTCACAGACATACACTACCCCCATGGTTCTTCATATACTGTCTGTTAGATCATGTGCAGGGAGATGTTTTAGATGGCTGCCTGACCATGGGCTTACAACGTCCATATAAATAGTTAGTTTGCTATGTTATGAGCTGATTTACCTCTCAATCACACTTTTCCATTCTTCCATTTTAAGTCTCGTATGATACATACCAAACTTGAACGGTATGAAAAATATTAGATGCTCTACATGCCAGCAAGGTCTCTGTTGTATTGCAGATGGTGAAGTTGAAGAAAGAGGGGAAATGACTTAGCCTTTATTTGCATCCTTATTTCATATGCTGGTTTCACATCCTGATATGTGACCAAATGTTGATGGTATCAGCATTAAGACCTTCTGCTTAAACTTGGTAATTGCGTGATTCGATTTCATTCAAATAAGAATTTTGCTGGCTGATAAACACTATAATATAATCACCCCTCCACAGCCAAATTAGTATTCTTTTGAGGGAGAAAAATCTGCAAAAATCTGTTCCTGTTTTTAAACATTTTAACTGTACCTGCAATTATATTTAGAATATTGATAGCTATATAGAAAATATGCTAATATTTGATACATAGAATTTGCTGTTAGCTTCTATTAGATGCTAGTATATTTGCTAAAGAGACTTGGGTGTGACTAAAAATATATTCTGTTTAGGGGGGAAAAAAAACAAATGAAGTGTTAGTTGAAAACTGACTGGACATGGTTTCATTTCCTCTTTTTATATTTTTAGATTGGGAACAAAAACAGAGCAGCACTGGCTGAAGGTGAGAAAGTTGTTCTGTTATACAGTAGATGCCTGTTGCGCCCGCCACCCTTGTTGAAGCATATTTGTTCTTTGTTTTGTTTTTGCAGTGAGGATTGTTATCTAAATTTGGTTTGGGGATAGTATCTGGAAGCTGACTTTAAAACAGTTATTAATGAAATATTGTTTTTTTCTTCTAAGTAAGACATAAAGCAATCTTAATGCATAAGAACAAATGACTTAATAGAATAAATAAACATGTCTTCCATTTCTAACATGCTATTTTCTTTCAAATGGTTTCTTGTAGCTCACAGAATAATGAACTCTCCATGATACTAAATATTTAGTTATTTATTGTAATGTATTTTTTAAAAAAAGCAAAAAATGCTGACCATAAGACATCACATATGATTTCTCACATGTATTAGGAATTGCTGTAAATCCTATTTACTAAACGTGATGCAGTTTAAGTTGCATCTTATCATATAATTGACAAGCAGAAGCTAAATGTAGAAATCATTTTGGTGTGGGAAGAATAAAAAGATCTCACAATAAAAAGAAAACTATAAGTATAGCATTCAGTTTTCCATTCTGTTAGAGAAAATTGGGAGTCACCCCAAAAAAATAAATGGTGATTATAGTCTATTTTAAACCTCTTTAAATAAAACACTTGCCTATTATTTATAAAGTTCCTGCTATGTGTTTTACTTGAATTGCTTTTATTGTCATAAATATTAGAAAAACAGTTATGAAGAGAACTGACAGATGATTGCTTTTAATATCTTTTCAAATAGCCCCATTAATGAACTTATTCTATAATCATTAGCTATAGGATCCTTGCACCAATCTAAAGCAGCATACTTAAAATTTGCCACTAGATGTCAGCAGTAGAAAAGAGAATAAGAAAGGACATGTAGCTCAAGATACACAAATAAGTCAAAAGATTTGTTTTATCTTGCATTTGGCACCCATGTGTGTTCAACTATTCCCATTCCTTGCAGCCATGTCTATGCAACTTACGGCCAAAACAGTATTTCATGCAGTAGCTTTATTTACTTTGATTTTAGGAAGAGACCTCCCCCCCCCATTTTTAACCCTCTAGAATTATTGGGGGGGAAGGATAGGAGTTAGTGTTCTCCAGTACAGGAGATGGAGAATCCACCAATGGGTTTTCTCTGTCTGCCTGCTCTTGAGACCAAGTAGCCAAATTTGACACACCCCCTCTTGCCAGGGGATCCATTCTTAACTTGCTCTCAGCTCTTGAAGACTCGTGTTGGCTTGGCTCTCAGCTATTTCAGGTCAGAGAAGAAATTTATTGGTGAATTATCTTTAAATAATTGGTTATCTTCAAATTTAGTGTTCTACATATATTGGTGTATGAAATTATATCACAATATTGATGGTTGTACTTCCCTTTAGCAAAGAACTAAGAGCATTGAACCTGTAAGTCTTGGAAAAGTACAGATGGTCTCTGACAATTAGGAAACAAATAGAGGTAGTCCCCACTTAATGCTTAGTGACTGGTCGAAGTTAAAACAGATCTAAAAAAAAAAAAGCTCCTTGTGAGCCAGTTCCAGAGTTCCAACGTCCACCCCTTATGGGCATGTGATTGCATTTTGGGTGCTGGCAACAGGCTCAATTTATGGCTGTTTGCAGCATCCCACAGTCACATGGCCACGGTTTTTGATGTTATTTTGGTGATCACTTCCAGTTTCTGACAAAAAAAAAAATGGATTTGTTTAACAATCCCCACATTCGCTTATCTGCCACATTCGCTTAACAATCACCACAAATACAATCTTAAAAGTCCCAGTCATGTGGTAACTTACATCAACGACCGCCATGACTTACAACTGTACTTCTGGACTCAGTTATGGCGGTAAGTCAAGGAGTACTGGTGTAATGGCAGAAAGAATTTGGCAAATACATTTCTACAGTTTTATTTCAGAATATATAATCCTGCTGAGTTACGCCGCAAAGTGGCTTCTGCCCTAATAGCAGGTTCTGCATGTTGTGTGTTTGCAATTTAAATTCTATTGACCAACGTCTTCAAGGGACGGTGGTACGGTGCAAAATGGCTGCCAGGTTTTTATGTGCAATTCACCAAGAGGAAATGCTCGCCTGTGTTAGTGGTTGGTTACTAGCTTCAAAAGTGAGCAAAAAGGAAGTGCATCAGCCTTTGCCCCGTCTCTTTGATATTCTCCAAACATTTAAGTATTGCTTTTAAACATTTAAAGAAGTATTAAAAGCATGAAGATTCTTTAGGGCAGGGGTCTGCAACCTTGACAACTTTAAGACTTGTGGACTTCAGCTTCCATAATTCCTCAGCCAGCTATGCTATGCTGGCTGAGGAGTTCTGGGAGCTGAAGTCCACAAGTCTTAAAATTGTCAAGGTTGCAGAGCCCTGCTTTAGGGGTTTGAGTTATGTATCTCTGCTTCTTTCTTTCAAAATGCTCAATACGTGAGGGGTACTTGGTGCTCTCTGAGCTGGGTTGTTCTATTCATGGTTAGGGCAGAGGGCTCATAAAGTTTGGCCTTGCAACAGCATCCCATGGTGTGCAGAATTTAAGAGGTTTTTGCAGCTTATTCTAGGACAGTGGTTCTCAACCTGTGGGTTGGGACCCCATTTGGGGTCGAACGACCATTTCACGGGGGTCGCCAAACAAGGCTGTCCACCATTTTTTCCCCCTTTTCTTTGGCCACGCCCCTGGCACCTGGTGATGTATAAGTGGTTGGGGGTCACCACAACATGGGGAACTGTATTATGGGGTCGCGGCATTAGAAAGGTTGAGAACCACTGGTCTAGGACGAGATATTATCCTTTCATCATTTTGCTGAGATTTTATTTGCTGCTCTTTCAACATTAAAATAGGTTCTTCTTGTACAGTTCCTGACCAAGGCAGATAAAGATAAAAACACTGAACTTGCTAAAGAGAAAACGTTGCTGAATCCTGTTTCCTCATTCCCTACACACATACACACACACACGCACAGACGTGTGTGTATTTTTAATAAATTATGGAAATCCTGCAGGCTTGTATAAAAGGGCTTTGTATACACATGTACAGTTCTGAAAACAAAATATGTTCTTCCTTCTTTTTCCTTATCACCCTTTTTGAGATAAAAACCTCAAGTGTGGGACAGTTATCTTTTTATAAGCATCACAACTGAGAGAAAGCTATAAGCACCACAACTTTGGTGTAAAAAAGAGGTAATCTTCTTTTGCATTGTTAAGATTTTTAAAGGTAAAAATAGGGGAGAGGAAGAATAAAGAAATAGGGACCATGAATTTTTACCATCTGCTTACTGAAAGCATGATTAAAATGTTTAATGCAAATTGATTATAGTACGTATTTTTTCCTTGTTACCATGGAGCTTAGAAATTTGGTATTAAGAAGCTTGCGAACATTAAGAAGCCCCTAAATTAAAGGGCATACATTACTCAGCACAGTGCAGTCAAGAATTTTATATGTTTAGTAGATTCTTTGCATGTGGCAAAAATTTATCTCCATAATCGGGGACAGTCCTATACTGATCCAATTCCTGAAATTTAGAATAACATTATGCTGCCCTGTTGTTTTGTTAAAAAAAAAAATACAGATTGATGCATTTGGAAATAAACAAGGAAAAACGTAATTTTAGAAATAGTCTAAAAGCGTTCTCTCATCCAATGGAAAGTAATGCAATCAGCCACTTCCTTAGAGTTTAGATAGCGCGCATTCATAGATCCAGCTGAAAGCAGCTTAAAAGCTACATGAAATAAAATGCCTTTTATAGTGTGCCACAGTATATGCAGACACCTTCATTTTGAAGGAGATGGGAGACCTGCATAGAGTAGCTTGTAATTTGAGCAGATGGTGAGTGAAGATTGCTTGAGCCGTGCAGGTATAATCCTCGACTTACAATCTTTTGTTTAGTGACTCTTCAAAGTTACACTGAAAAAAGTGACTTACGACCATTTGTCACACTTGCCGCATCCCCACGGTCACATGGCCAAAATTTGGACCCTTGGCAACTGGCATGTATTTATGACAGTTGCAGTGTCCCGAGGGGGTCATGTGATCCCCTTTGGCGACCTTCTGACAAACCAAATCAATGGGGAAGCCAGATTCACTTAACGACGGTGTTCCTAACTTAACAACTGCAGTGTTTCGCTTAACAACCTTGACAAGAAAGGTTGTAAAATGGGGGAAAGCTCACTTAACAGCTGTCTTGCTTAGTAGTGGAAAGTTTGCACTCAGTTATGGTGGTAAATCAAAGGCCACCTGTACTGGATGCTGGTTGTTTGGTTGGTTGGATGGATGGATGGATGCCATTGGTACATCAAAACTCGTAGCTAGTTTATTGTGTGCGTTGTTTACCCATTATTGGAAATTATGGGAACTGACTCATGATCACTGTTGTTTTCTGAGATGTAAACATTGGACAGTCTCCCATTCATTGGTATTAAATCCTTCCACAGCCGCACTTCAGCTTCATGATCATTGTCGTATACCTGGGTGTATGAGAGGGAGAGATCTAAGCAGTCTTACTGTCTGATGCAAGTGTGTCAGTCAGCTTTCAATCTATATATCTGTCAAGCCTGAAGATGACGAATGAGACTTCGTCGAAACATCGCCAAGACACTTCCAATTTGACGTGGGAGAAAACCCAAATAACCAAAGACCTACATATCTATATATATCTATATATGCAATGAATTTCATTTAGGAAGAAATATCTATGTGCAGGTGCTTGGTTTACAGAAAAGCTGCCATAGTACCTTCAGTATTATTTCTCCCAATGAAAAAAAGCAGAATAGCTTTGCAGTTCATTATTTTGAGCCTTCAAAGAATTGTTACCTTAGGGGTTTTCTTCCAAAAGTATTGAAATTGGACGGGGAGGGGCGGGGTTGTTATCACTTGCTGAGCCTTGCATTCTGTAGATCAGCGGGGAACAAAATACTTATTAATGTACTCTTGCGCCTAAGGGAGTTATCTCTTGATCCTTCAGAATTGGTATTACATCTTGTAACTCCGTTGC